TAGACAGATCCAATGTATAAAGTGGATAAAGTTGTTTGCCAAGGGTTGTGGCATGACTCATCCTCTCTGCCCCATACAATGTTCTTGGCCTTCCAGACTTGGCTTGCCATTACTCTTGAGTGCAGGAGCCACTTAAGAGGGAAAGGAAAAAAGAAAAGAAAAGAAAAGAAAAGAAAAGAAAAGAAAAGAAAAGAAAAGAAAAGAAAAGAAAAGAAAAGAAAAGAAAAGAAAAGAGAAAATCCCCCCCCCAAAAAAAAACCCAAAACACAACAAAAAACACAAAACCCCACCCCACACTAAAAAGAAACAAATCTGAATACGTGTCCAGCAGTTAAATTTGGAACTAATCCAGTAAACCAGCAGGTGAGACTGAATTGAGAGCTCTAGCAACATAAGTCCACTTACTGTCCTTGAAGTGGGAATCACACTGAATTCAAGGTTAGTTGTATACAAAGTCATGACAAGCAGAACAACAGTGCTAATTGCATAGCATTTGGGAAAGGGAGAAAGAGACGTGGAGAATAAAACAGAGGGGGATAGCATGCTGCTGCCTGTGGGCAGGATTACTTAATAGGGTAAAAAATAAAAAATAGGGATTACTTAAGGTAGCAAGATACCCTTTCACCTGCAGTATGTGCCTGCTTGATTTGTCACCATTGACATACAGCAAAGCCAATCCGAATAGCAAGTTTCCAAACAATTTTCATTTGTGGCAGGCAGTCTTTCCCTACAGGTTGGAAAACCAGCTCCCAGAGTTGTGTGTTATCCCATGCAGCTGGACAGCTTCTACAACTTGGACAAACTCATTTTTAGATAACATAGATGTTTTAGCATTAATGTTGCCTTTGTCACCTGTCTAATTGTGCCAAGAGGATTAATCAAAGCCTGTCAGAATTAATAGCAGAGAAGCAGGACTGGAAAAAATAAAGCAAATTAGTCACCACTGGTGACTGGTTCTGTACTAACACCTGAGCTGCTGCCTGTTTTACAAGGCAAAATATGCCTGGAAGGGTGAAAAACCCACCAAGAAAACCTTTCTCATCCCATTTCTGAGCTGAAACCAGGGGCAATAATCAATTTGTTGCCATCTCTGTTCCCAACAGAAGGAGCAGATGGATGTTGCCAAGCACATTCCTCACCATTAGCCCACCATCCGAGGCTCCTGAGAGGCCATGCATGTGGTCTGTCTTGTCTCTAGCAGGGATCCAAACTGTCCTGTTGCAAACAACTCTTTAGCAAGGGATTATCAGGGGTTTGTAGAGTTTACAGTTGTTTGGCCATTCATCTTACAAATTCTCTGATGGTACTTCTGAAGTTCTGGGTTCAAAGAAGTATTGTTTTCTTCAAGTAAAATGCTGGGCTCTATGATAACACTCACGTGTTCCATCATTTTCCTTCTTGCACTTACCTTTTAGATATTCCTGCCATTTAGATATAAAGATAATTTAATTTGGAAGGAGTAGCCTCGTCAAGAAACCCCATGAGGAAAGCAGCCAGAGACCCACTCTGACAAGCATTTAAAACAGTGTTTACACCATCTTCCATGATCAGATCACTGTTTCACAACAGATCATTGCTCATTGTATTAAGGTAACCCAGGAAGCAAGATTCATTCCTCATTTAAGATGACTTTTGCAACAGTAAGCTAGAAGGCTGCATCCAGAGTGCTAAACATATTGTAAATGAAGGGATTCTGGTTTTTCTCTGTGTTTGGGCATTTTTTTTGTTTGGTGTGTTTTGGGGGTTTTTTAGCTGTTGAATTAAGAAAGACCAAAACCATTCATTTTGTTGTGCTCCCAAAAATATGCCGTTAGGTAAATTTGGCCATGGTTCTCACTGGCTGCTGGATAATAAAGATCTCTTGGCCTCTTGCCAAACCACAGTCATCTCATTTTTAATCCCAAACCCCTACTGCCTGCATGTCTTCTGCATGTCTTTTAGCCCAGAAAGACACTATGCAGCATTCCCCAATCTGACATCTGCTTTTCCTCGAAAGCCAGAGATTCTTTCTTCATCCCCTCCTAGGTCTGGCTGGGAGCAGCAGCAATGTAATTTTTCTGCCCCACTGTCTTTGCCAGAGAGAATGGCACATAATCCCTTTTTCTGCAAAAAAAAGAATTGGCTTCTATAAAACTTGAGGGTGGAGGTATATTTCAAATGTTGCATCTCCCTTTGAACCGCCAGGGACACAGGAGATGTTCCAGGCTGAGAAAAGACATGCTCTTCTTTCCTTTCCCAAGTTACCATTCCCTCTGCTTTTTACACTTACTAATATAAACTCAGGTAATGGCTGCTGCAAAGGGCCAGAGGAGGTGAGAAGCAGCCAGGAGAGAGGTACACCACCGCATTAGGATGCTAACCCTGAAGTCAGAGGTGACAGTGCTCTGGGCAACCCTCCAGCCTTTGCTGGCACAGACTAGCTGTTGTTAGAAAGAGTGAGTGTTAGCAGCCTGAGTCAGACTCTCCCTCATGCCCCAGTCCTTTCTGCTAATATTTATTAACTTGACTATTTCAATTTTAAAGACCCAACATAGTTGAGCTGTGATTCAGATTTCTTGGTAATAACCACCCCAAAGCATAACATTTCTCCTCCCAAGGTGGACAGAAGTCTGTGGAACGTCTTTGTCCCTGAAGGAAATAGGGAAATTCACAGACAAACCGTCCTGGCTGCCTTCACTTTCTTCCTTCTCCTTGTCCTGTGGAAACAGTGTTAGCAACACTTTCCATGGTGCCTTGCCTCGGGTCACCTCTCTCCTTGGATGCTCTCTTCTGAAAGGGGGAAGATGGGTTTTCAGAGCAGCCACAAGCCTCTGCTCACCTTTAGGAAGAAGGACAGTGAAAAATAACAGCAGTTTTATGGGGCTGCAAGTGATCTGCTCTGCAGTAATGTTTTTTTCTCTAGGTAAGAAGGTCTCTCATCCTAGTAAAACTACTTGCAGTGCTCAAGCTCGCTCATTCCTGAGAAAGCTGATGTCCTGGCTAGGCTGTCCTGTGAAGGTAATAGCAATGCTCTTGACACAGCATCTCCTGACAAATAACTACACATTTGGGATACCTGTTTTTCTTAAGCAGGTGCACATTTGCACTGAGCAAGCTTGTCTTTACAATTACCACCCCTGAATATGTCTGCATAATCATAAAATGCTGCATACCCTGAGGTTTCTTCTGGTACTTAGTGTGTCCAGAGTGGATAGATAGTGAAGTCAAGCTGAAACTGGAGTTGAGGTGAATTTATCATTTAGCCAGCAGACCTGTCAACAAGACTGAGAAGACTAGGACTGTCTGGAGACATTTATGAGCTACAGATCCTGACGTGTCCCTGGACCCCTCGCGGCTACAGATAACACCATAGGTTTTTGCAGAGACAGCTAACTGGGTGGGATACTCCCTGGTGGCCTGGTCACTGAAACTTCATCTGTCAGCCCATCTCCATCCCAGTCCTTCTATCCTTCAGTCATCAACACCTCTCTCTGGCTGATAACATTTTTGCACACATTTCTGTGATTTTGTCCTATCAATCCAGATTAATCCCCACAGACGCTAGCAGAAAATTGCTGCTAGCCTTCATAAGGTCAGCTTCTCAACAGCCTCCACATTTGGGAACTTAGTCTTGGCTTCTGCTGGAGTTAGTGAGAGCCACACTGAGCCTTAGAGCAAGGAATCACATTTCTAAGTGGTTACATTGACTTGCTGAACACACACAGACAGGGAATTACAAAGTCTTTCTTCGCAATCTGTTATGTAGACTGAGGTTGGTAATTCTTTCCCAGTGAGCAGAGTGTTGATGATTAATTTCTAGTTTTGGTCAGTGTCTCAGTGATAGAGGACAGCAATATCTACAGAAGCGCTGAGCTTGCTAAATCAGTTTTGCAAACTGCGCATGAGAGGAGAGGCAAAAGGTACTGAAAGAAGGAAATATTCTCACTTTCGGATACATCTGCTCACTGCCACCATGCAATCTGTGTTTTCTAGTTTTCCTAAGGCAGCACAGCCTGTCAAAAAAGCCCCAGAGACTTAAGGTTGGAAGCGAGCTCCTGCTCAAGCTGACTCTCCTGAACATAATGATTTCATAGAGGAACATCAGGTGTAGTGACCTATTAAGGAGAAAAGAGCGCAAGAAGTCTGGGGTGCGGGTGAGGAGGAGAGGAGCCAGCCAATGGTAAATACAGGTTTGTGTGAAAAGTGAGAGAAAAATACTGAAGATATAATAGTGACAAGTTTGAAGGAGATGAGGAAAACAGATGAGGAAAAAATGGATTGAGATTATAATAAAAGCGGGCAGGAGGAGATTTTACATTTCAAGATAAATTGAACTTCCTTACTTTGGTGAAAGTATGTTGGAAGAGGAAATCAAACTCAAAAATTAGAATAAAATACAAATGGAAAATGAGACATCTTAGAATTATGCAGACATTTTTAACATCAATATAAATAGTGCTATTTGATACAGTAATGGCTTTTCTGTTTTGTGAGTGTGATTCACTGCATCCCAGATCATGAGGGGCTTTGTATGCTGTTGCCTGAATAAGCTGAGTCCATACATAAAAACTAAATTATGGAAAAAAATGTTGCATTGATAGACAGCTCATGAACAACCCGTAAGAAAAAACAGCATGTTTGTGTGGAGCGTTTCATGGATGATGGCATTCATCCACCAGCTGTATAACTCTAAATAAACTCGAAATACAACTCTATCTTCATGATTATGGAGTATATAGGATGGCCTCTGCTTTTATGGGGGCAATGCTGTGAACCAGCTTGCCTCTCTCCCTGTTTGGGAGTGTGCACACACAGACATACTTGTAGCTAAGTAAATAATTATATATAACTGGTTTGTACACCCTACAACTGCATAGGTACAAAATGATTTCAGGGAAAAGATCCTGCAGACCTAATGTATAGCATAGCTGATGGTTGTTATGGCACTGATCATACTCGTTCTGTAAAAGGCAGATTGCAGACTAATCCTTGTTCTTGTTTTTCTCCTTGAATCCTAGCAGAAAATGGACCCCGTCTACTTGTGGTAGCAGAGCAAGCTAAAATCTTCTCACACCGGGGTGGCAATGTCACACTGCCATGTAAATTTTACCATGAACACACATCAACAGCTGGCTCAGGAACCCACAAAATCCGGGTCAAGTGGACCAAACTCACCTCAGATTACCTCAAAGAAGTGGACGTCTTTGTTGCAATGGGACACCACAGAAAGAGCTACGGAAACTACCAGGGCAGAGTGTTTCTGAGGGAAAGCAGTGAAAATGATGCCTCTCTTATAATCACAAATATCATACTGGAGGATTATGGGAGATATAAGTGCGAGGTGATTGAAGGATTAGAGGATGATACAGCAGTGGTAGCTCTGAATTTGGAAGGTAGGTAACACCTGAATTATACTAAAATTCAGATTTGCGCCGTGTTAAGGAATACCTGGGGTTTTTTTCTCCTAATACTGCTGATGCTGTGTTATCAGTGATATCATCAAGCTGAGAAGCGGGATTCATTGTACTCTGGGGATCTTGGCCTGACAGCCCATGACAGCAATCATAAATTAGAAGAAGATTAGGATTTCTATAATTTATACTAGCCTACAGCATATTCAGTTCCCAGTGAGACCTGGTGTGAGGGGAGCCAAAAAAGAATGACCAAACACAGTATGAAGCACTCCATATGTTTCTAATTTCTCCTATCACTTTAGATAAGTCAGTGCATGTTTTTACAGTAGACTTAGTCAAAATTATATTAAATATTCCCTTAATAGCCATTTTACAGAACTTTGGGACATTTTAGATTATTGAGCAAATACAAATCTTCTTACAAAGAGGAAAAATGTTAAAGTAGTTTTCCAGAGACAAGGGTTTTGTTTTTTCTAGCCTTATAATTACATAAAATAGATCTTTACATTGCCTGCCAAGACAACTCCTACATATAGTCTGTAGTCATTTCCCCCAGCAATATTCTTGAAAATAGTTGAGTACAAAGCGTTAGAAAAATCAGTGAAACAGGTTTGAAGAGAACCAAAATTCAGCTTTCTTTCACCCTCATGAAATGCAGATAAATTTTATGAGATTCAATGCATGCAAATGACCATTTAGTCTTTTTCCCAAAGCACTGCACTGAACTCACCAGTAAACTCAAAATTGCATGAAGATGTCTCCCTTACCCTTACCCTTACCCTTACCCTTACCCTTACCCTTACCCTTACCCTTACCCTTACCCTTACCCTTATATTTATCAGCAACTGTGTGCCAGAGAGAACTTTACAGAAGCCACATATCTATGAAAAATACTTAGGAAGAAAAAAAAAAAAAAAAAAAAAAAAAAAAGAAGAAAAAAAGACCCCTGGCTCTCACACCTGTAAACAGATGACATATATGACTCTTTCATTGAGGGTTATTGTATATTATGATGGTTATATAGTTACCCAGCACAGTAACACTGGCTGAGTGGTTCTTGGACCTAAATATATATCATGAGCTTAGCTTACTTCTTCACATCTATTTTTCCATTCCAGGTTGCTGAAACCTTCCATTTCTGAGTGCAGAAAGACCCTGCACAGTTTGCATGCCAGCAGGATAGTTGATTTAGGTTTTCACCTCACATAATCCATCTTTAATAAGAATGCATGCTTTTCTTTTCAAACTCAAGAGATAAAGAAAACTGGACATATACACACCCTGTCTAAAACAGTTGTGAGTGAAGACAGAAATGAGTAGGAGGAAAAAGCATTTTATTTTATTCATCTCTGCTAGCCAAAGGCTCTTGTGTGTTCAGCCTCCTCTTCGCTCAGGCAGGCACTGCAGTTGTTCCTCGTTGCAGCCGCTGTCATTGAGATGAACCACTGAAGGCAGAGCAGTTTCTGCTTGGCATGCTTAGCTTTACTAAAGGCAAGGCATCTCTTTAACTGTGTTTGACCCCAGCATGTCTCTTTGCCTCTTGCGCTGTTGTGCAGACAGCCCTGGAGCCCACCCCTAGGTTGTGAGGATGTCAATAATTATATTCTTCTGACAGTCTCCTTACATCCTAAATACATACCTCTATCAGGCTTTGAGGTATTCCAGATAAATAGCTACACATCTTGTTGCCCATCAGATACTAGGATTTCCATGTCTTACAGCTTCATGGTATTTTTGCCAATGTAAAAGGGTCAAATCCAGGGTAAAATCTTTAGTGTTGGTCACACCACACATCTGGACCAGATACTTGTCTGATGGCACTTAACATTGTGCCTCTGAAGCAAAAGTTAATTAGCTTTCTGCTATTAAAAGCAAGGAGGTTCCAGCACAAATGCTTCCTCTGTGCCAGGAGTGCTTGGGTAATGGGAGTTGCTGACGGTTGTAGTGTCAGATTGGAAAATTTTGCCTGAAGCTTGGTACAAATACTTGTGCATATGCAGAGATTCACATTAGAAAGACTATATTTGATTGATACTAGAGTAAGAAAGCAATGCAAAATCTTTTCTTTAATGCATACCAGTAACACAACTGAAAAAAGGAAATTTTCTGCCTTTTTGACTGACTGTTTTGTGGTATAGTAACAGTGCACTGGATACAAGGTCTGGGTCCCACCTCCTGATATGTGCCATCCCCTCTAGCTTACTGCTCTTACTCTAAACAGTGTGTCCCTCTGAAGTATGCCAGCTCCAGCCCATCCTGTACAACAGCACCACTCCTTCCTGTTTTCCCCCACCTCCAAAATAAGGAAATTCATAAGGACAAGAGGAATCATATTTCTTCAATTAAGTATGTTCCAATCTCTGCTCAAAGGGAAGTTTGTATATTTGAACGAGTGTCTGGCTAACATAACGAACAATGTCTTTTTAATCATTTTTGTCAGACATGGATCACATGTAAGACAGTTAATTTCTGATGTTATAGAGTGGTGTTTCCTAAACTGGCACGAAAATTTCATTTGTGAAACCTCATGGTAAAATGTAACCTTTCAAGTGATAGAAGACTGGTGAGTGTGTCAGTGTCAGTCCTGCTGAGTCCTCTAAGTTACACTGAAGTTTCCTTCTAAAATGATAATGATAGAAATGCACTTATATTTACATGGACATACATAGCTGATGGAATGTATTACTCTGTTTGCATGCCCCTGTGCTTATTTTTAAACCTAATCTGCAGCTTTACATAGTGCTGGCTTTAATCCCTGTTTCATGTTTTTGAGCAATGCAGAACAGATCAAGGAAAAAAAAAAATCAATCCTTGGACAAAATGAAAATATATCGACCCATTCCAACATTCTACATCTGTTATAAATAATAAGGTTAATCTCACAGTGGGAAGGATTTGCATCAATACTCTGATGTCCTGAGATGGTAGCCCTAAGGATCTTAATTGGCAGCAAGACAAAACCATTTATATCCAGGAATGCCCACTAGCAGTGCAAAACAGCTAGTGGGCTCACTGTATAAACAGTATAGCTTTGGCTAGGAGAAATCATGTATCAATATTAAAATAGTTGACCTCTACCTCAGTGGACCTTTTTTCTTCACAGAATGTGGTAGTGTTTTATTCTTATTAGTCTTAAAGGCCTCCTGGGATTGTTATGAAATAAACTGTTCATAATAACTGGGTACTTTTAGCTTTGAAAAAGCAGTGTAATTGGCTTCACTCTGTGTTTGTTACATACCTGACATGGTCTGGGTATGTTTTCTTCACTATTATTTAGTGCAGAGCCACACCATTTCCCCCCCTATGACAGCGAGACAGTGCTGTCAAGCAGCTAAAGCTCAGGACTAGGATTCACTGCAGTATTTCACAACCACCAGCTGTAGGAACTATTCAGGTATGTCATGATTATCATCCTGTTTGTAGCCTTAAGTACAAGGACTAGTCTAAGGACAGGAGGGTTGGGCTGGGCATGGTGGCTGCAAGAAATGTCAAGTACTGCAGAGAACAGGACACTTTATGTTGGCCTTGTCACCAAAGCCATTTTCTCACTGAACTGGCCTTACTCTTCTGCTGCACATAAAATATGGACATGAGTTTTACACTCTTTTTCAAATGTTCTGAGAATCAAAATCTTAACAAATTAAAAGGTCTCCTATGTCAGGTAGATATTGTTGCCTGAGTCATAAGCAAAGAAAGGAGTCTCAGCTTACACTAAATTTTATTTATGCTGGTGTTTTACTGTTCTACACTAAATTTTCTTTATGTTAGTGCTTTATTATTTTCCTTTCTTGGCAATACTATGCACAGTAATGAATCTCATGACATTAGGTTTGTGTGCTTCAGCTTCTTATGCATGCAAAGGCTCCATCACTGGCCCTCAGTTATACTGTTCAGACACAGATTTTGTGTACTATTCCTTCATGAGATTCATGGGCCAGTTGACAAAGAAAGTAGAGCAACACTAAACTGCCAAAGGCAGATTTTCACTCTATTAGAATTTTTTTATAGTTTCTCTCTTCAGGGAGAGGTGATAACTGAACACATTAGTTTCACAATATAGGCTATAAAATACTTACTTTGTACTTTCAACAGTACCAGGAATATGCAGATCTAGATAAAGCCATTAAAAATCTCTGTAGAAAGCTGCCTCTAGATAGAAGCTAACTCTTGGGGTAGCTCCACACAAACCAAAAAACATTAGGTTTTATGATCTTGCTTAGAGGTATCTTAGCCTTTATGTCCAAGACAGAGTTAGAAAAAACATCTCCTTCAAAAAGAGTCTATAGTTCGGAATAGATCAAACAAATCTGTAGGCTTCATATAAACACATTAGTCCAAATTGTCACAGCAGTCATTTTCTAATCTGGTCATTTACTCTCAAGCTGGGTGTTCATAATGGGGAATTCATAGGTGAAACCAGTGAAACCAACTCCGTGCTCTCAACAGCAGGAGAAATCAGATTTAGCTAATATTGTATGGCATATTTGTTTCTTCTGTGTGTTGCTGTTAAATTTATGCACCAAAAGCTATGTTAATTATCCTTTGTGTGACAATCTGTTATACGCTCTATTATAAAACTGATTATATAGGACACACTTTGTGAGTCCCTAGAATATGACAAAAAGTCTTGTAAAAGGCAACAGGAGTTTGTCAAGAATAAGTCATGACAGACCAGTGTAATTCCTTCTGTGACAGGGTAACAGGGCTTTGCAGACACAGCTGTGTTTGTAAGTGCTCTGAGAAACGATATTTGAAAGATGCAGGTGAAGTAAAATTAGAATACAGCAGCAAAATATTATCTGGAAATGATGACCCAAAAATAAAATTCTAAAAAAATGAGGACTAATTAACCTAAGGAGATCAAGGAAAGACAACAGTCTGCAAATTTTTGTAAAGGCTGTAGAAAAATAAGGGAATAATATGCCTCCAGGCCAGGTGAGTCTAGTTCATGTGCCTGTATTGGTCAGAAATAAGCAACCCCACTGTCAGTTTTGCTATGGGATGCTGTGGGCTGCAGGGACACCACCTCAAACTTCAGCTCCATTTTTAGAGAGAGTGATGCCTGCTGACAGTTAGTGGCCCACCCATGGAGTCTGTGCAGAATAGTTAGATATCCCTCAGTCCTGACAGGCATAAACATGGAGATAGAGTCTCAAGGAAAATGAGGGACTTACCACTTTTCACAGAATTTTAGAAATACAGCATGGAAAATTTCTCCATCAAGTGTATGAACCTGCCAGCATAAAACTGTACCCTACAGTATAGTATATAGCAAACCCTACTGTTACTCTGTGTTTACACTGGCTACAAGAAAACTTACTTTTCTGTTTGGGCTAGAACTCAAGGCAGCCCATTTCTTTACTCTGGCTGTTAATTTTTTTTTTTTTTTTTTCATATGGGTCAACAGAAATTTGTGTTATTTTGTTCTATGTGTAAATACTCTTAAAGCTGCTAATTGTGTATGGTACTGGCTTAATATACACCCATAAATTATTACAGGAGTTGAGTTTTCTAAGTTTATTTCCTCACCTTTTTGTCTTGGGCAACTCTTACAGCTACTTGCACTGACAATGTGTCTGTAGTGACTAAGTAATTGCAAAGCACTTGCACTGAATTTTGGGGATGACCTGTCTATAAAGCTCTGAAATACAAATAACTTACAGAGGACACACAAATATCATGTCTTTCACTTTCCCTAGAAAACCACAGTAACTGAAGCATAGTAGTACATTAGTGGAATTGAATGTAAGGCATTCATGGAAATTCAGGTGTGCATATGGGGAGGATATGTTACACATCCAGTTCTTACGTTCTGATTTGGTAGAAATCCCAATTTCCATTACAGCAGTCATTTTCTGGACTGCAATTGCGTTGTCACAGGTGCATATAGCAAGCCTCACCTGGCCCTCCTCTTTCACTAACAGATTTATTCTCCACCGAATTGATGTGTGTCAGGTTCTTCCTCTCCTGCTTGGAGGAAAGGAGGTCCTTCCCCGGGGGTAGGACCTATTCCAGAGAACCAAGTGTTTGGGAAAGCAGCCATTCTGTGAGGTCTATATTGTAAATTAATATTCCCCATTCAGGCTCCACAAATGGCTCAGCTGCTTCCTTACGGTAGGGACCTGAATAACTATGGTCAGGTTAAGGCTCCTCAGCTCAGTCTTACCACAAACTAACCTGATTTTAACCATCTGAGGCTGGAAGTTTTATTTTCCTCCATTTTTTAAGCTGAATTTGTTAACTTTTGGAAGTGGGTGTTTTGTCTAGTGGTAAAACACAGAGTTGGAGTCAGGAGTTTACATTCAGTCTGTAGTTTGGGAACAGTGACAAGCAAGCCTCAGGACAGCTTTTGTCCATTCAGGAACAGATGGGATGGATTAAATTTCAATGGGTTGTAAGATCCAAGACCGAAGAAGATGTTTTGCAATTAACTAAAGTTCAGCCTGCTAAATTGTAACAAGAGGAAGATGAGTAGTAAGATCTAATTATAAATTTCAGCTAGGTGTGATAGGGAGATGAAGAGGGAAAAAAAAAAAACAAAAACAAAAAAACAGAAACAATGCAAACTACACCAAACACATACCCAGTCAATTTTGCTCTACAAAATCACAAATGGCCACCCCCATCTGCAGGGTGAAGTTAATACTAATCAGTTGCAGGCTTGTACTGCAGATGAACTCAAACAAAAACCAGCTTCTATGCAGTCTACCCAAATATAGCCCAAAGCTAATATTACACTTTTGTGCATATTTATGTTATTAAAACATTATGTTCCAAAGTGTCAAACTCAAATAGTTTTGTAACAAATTTGCATACATCTTTAACTTCTTTTAAGAAGTGATTTTGGAAATCTTAAGAAATGAAATCTGGCTGAACAGTTTCAAATTAATTGTTGCTCAGTTTTTAGAAGTGTGTAAGTTTAGATCTTGATTAAAAAATACCCACCTCTGATGATTTTAGGAGGTTTTTTGACATGTATATGCAAATCAGACATGTACTGGATAAGGAGTCACTTGTCTGGGGAAGTGTAGTTCTGGAAAAAGAGTTAGTATTGGATTTCTAATAAAGTAATAAAGCTTGGACTCCTCTGACATTTGCTATATTTTTATTATAGTCAATGACATTTCTATATATCCATCAGTACTGAGGTGGAATGAATAATTTTTTAAAAGAGAGGTGAAGAGGGGGAAGGAAAAACAGATAGCCAGAAAAATAGAAAACATCTACATCTACTTTTTTTATTAATTTAAAGTTAACAGCACACGTTGTGTTACATTACATTCATGCTTTATTTTTCAGAACGGCTAATAACTGAAAAGCCCTTTTACAAAGGATTTTCAAAAGGAAAGAACCTCAACAGACCCTCTAGTTAATTGCTGAAGGAGAGCAAAACATTGTTTATTATTACCCTGCCAAGTTTACATTTGCATCTTTTATTTTCTTGGACCAAGTCACAAGGTTTAGTAATAACAAAGATTTTGTTTAACAAAAATAACACTTCTTGGACGATGGATGGGTGAGGGACAAAAGGGAAAAAAAGAAGACATTAAGATACTCATGGAATAGAAACTGAAGTGGGTTTGAATGTTTGGAAAGAGGAATGGCTTCACTCCATGGTGACAGCCTTGCATGACCATACAGTAATTTCTCTATCCTATGCTACATTGCCTTGGAGACAAGGAACTTGTTACGGGACAGAAAACGAATCAGCAGGGAGAAAGTAAAAAGAAAGATGGATGTTTATACCACTGTAAAGTTTTTGGCTCATCTCATGTGTTATCTTGTCTTCAGTCCCTCTGCATCCTACAGCACTCATTCTACAGAGATCTTTGAGTATAAACATTCTGAGCTGGATCTTCTGTGATGCAGTCTTATTTCAGTTTATTTGACTGGGCTTAAGCCAACTGTAAAATTTAGATCTGGGTTAAGTCTCTAAACCTTGCCAAAGATTAGGGTGGTCTGGTCCAAACTTTTGTTTCAAGTCTCTCTCTTCTCTTTTATCAGAGCCACATGGGGAAGTGGTTCTTCAGTGTTTTGTGAAATATCTTTCATGCTCCAAGAAGTAATCTTTAACTACAGATCCTTTTCAGAAAACAAGCAGAAAATATACTGTGGAAAAATCTGTCAGATAAGGGCAATGACTTTGATTAAATGTTGCTGCTGAAACAATTCTGGAGTTGTCCCCACGTTTCCCACCTCCACTTGGATGTCCTCTGTTATGAGAAGGTGTCTCTGCCCTACCTGGCTCACCACGACGATCAAGAGGCAGGGCTTTGGGCTGGCCTGTGGCTGGTCCTCAGGTGCGGAAGGAAACAGTTGTCAGGTCCGTGCTCCTTGCACAGTGCTTCTCTGGCAAGCGTCCTTTTGTTAAGCCATCAGTGCGTCTGGCAGCCATAGGGGCAGCAAGGGAAGGTGGCGTCTCACATGGCTTCCTACAAGGGCTGTCTTGCGTTGCTGCATGCTGTGTGCTACATGGCTCACCATCTGCAGCTGGGGAAACCTGTCTTCTGCTCAAGGAGGCATGCTCCCTGATGCCCTCTGCGAGGAGATCTCCCTCCCTGAGTGGTGACAAACTGCCAAAAACCAGCTGGAAAGTAGCAGAAAAGTCTCCCTAAAACCACACATGACTTCACTGATTTTATTTCCCTGTAGATTTCCTACTTCTAGACCTCAGGATGCTAAATTTATGCTTCCTACCAGTCTAGCCTTCAAATGTTTTTAAGCTGGGCTTGAAATACCTTCCTGTTCCTAGGATAATGTGAAATAAACAACAACAACAAACAAACAACCAAAAAAAAAACCACAACACCCAAACAAACCCCAACTGTCTTGAACCTCTAAGCTGGGCATGAAATATCCTCCCATTCCTAGGTTAATGTGAAATAAAATTAAAAAACAAAACAAAACAAACAAACAAAAAACCTGTCTTGAACCTCTCAGGAAATCTTGGGAAGGGTCCATGCAAAGAACATAGCTTTCTTTTATGTCAATCAAAACATTTAATTTTAATGTCTATGTGTAAAAAGAAATAGTTCATATACATCTGTGCTGCGATTTCTTCTTTCTAAATGACTGCCAGAAAATCCCTAAATCCCATCCCACAAAAAAATGGAACTAGGCTGGGTTTTAATTTAGATTTTTTTAAATGAGAAATTGATCTTACAGATGGTAAACTGGAATTTTCTGATGAAAAACGTGTAGTTGTAAAAATTCAGCCACCTCTGCTTGTCTTTAAGCACTCTCAGAGTGCACGGGGGTGAGATCGCAGTGGGGACAGCAAAGCTGCAGATGGAAGCAACGTGCAGACCTGGCATGGTTCCCATTGGAAAAGGGATGAGGTTACGGGGAGAGGAGCCAGCTAGGTAAGGCAGCAGCCCTATCCTCGTCTCAAACCTAATGGCTGATGTGCTGACAGTGTGTTTTCCCCCAGAAAAAAAGCCCCAACAGTCTGACACACATGATGGAATTAACCTTTATTTGTCCTTCTGGTGACTGTAAATGCAGTTTCCCTTTCTTCTCCTCTTTCAGTGTCCAGTAACTCACCCTCTTTCTACCCCTTCAGGTGTCGTATTCCCTTATTCTCCGCGGCTGGGTCGTTACAACTTAAACTTCCACGAGGCTCAGCGAGCCTGTCTGGACCAAGACTCTGTTATCGCCTCCTTTGACCAGCTCTACGATGCCTGGAGGTCAGGGCTGGACTGGTGTAACGCCGGCTGGCTCAGCGACGGCTCTGTGCAGTACCCCATCACCAAGCCCAGGGAGCCCTGCGGAGGGAAGAACACAGTGCCTGGGGTCAGGAATTACGGGTTCTGGGATAAAGATAAAAGCCGATATGATGTTTTCTGTTTTACTTCAAACTTCAATGGTAAGAGTCTTCACCCCTACCTTTTAAATAACCGTTTCTGTGCTTAGGAAAGAAACTCCAATGGCAGCAAGGGATATTTGATTTGTCAAAGCTTATGTTACGCTTGGAAAATGTTATTGTTGAGTTTACAAGGACACATGCACAGAGTAAAGTTGTCTTTGCCATATGTTCATGTAGATCGTTTTTACAACTCAGAACTTGAATTGGCAGAAGTTTCTAATGTCTGCTTTCACCCCGTTAAAATTTATATGTACTCTTTTAATGTTAATATATGCCCAGTTTATTTCAGTTAAAGTGATGAAGAAACCTGTGATTCATTAATTGAGCTTACCTGTTGAATCAGTTATAATTATGTTGGTTTACAACTTAAATGTATCACTAGAACAAAACTCTGATCACCGCTTCATCTATGCTGCTGTTTCAAGCAGCTTCTGCTCATGTACGAGGTCTAATATGACTAATACATCCTTATCACAAAGCTATTTCTGTTTTTTATGCCTTATAATTTAGATTTCTAATGTTTCTACACTGCCAAAAAACCCTGTTCACTTTTGCTCCGAGCTTGGTCTGCTCTAAACCTTATTAGCTTTTTTGCTACTTGTAGATGTTAATTTAGGTATGAAATGATCTCAGCTTGATATCATGTCAAGTTTAATCTAGTAGTTGAAAGGGATTTAGAAAGCATTGCTGTGAACGAGAGGAACACTGCAAGTAAACATGTGCAAAAGCAGTCTACAATCCTCTACAGCAACATACCTGTGGGTAATGCCTGTTCAACTTTGCACATGTTTGGCTTGCAGCCCAACCAGACCAAGGAGCATGGCCGCCTTTGTTTATGTACGGGTTAGTTATCCACAGTGAAGCATTTTTGTCTTACAGCACACCGAGTAGCAAGCATAAGCCTTGCTCTCAGAAAGTATGTTCTAGCACTGTCTGCTCCACCCTCTGAATAAAATCCCAAATCCTCAAAACCAACAATGTTAAATTAGGCTGGATGCAGTCTGAAACAAAAGTTTAGCCGATTTTTACAATGTCGCATCATTCCATGTAATGCTGGCTCATTTTTTTCTTGCTTCATTTATCCAAGGATAAATCCTATATGAGCTCATCTCATATGCAGATTTAACCCTTTACTATAGAAATAGCACCAAGGAATAAAATAAGAAAGAAAAAAGAATTAAAATGTGAAAGCTGCACTATTTATAATGCTTGCAGAGCAAATGTTTGCAACCCCTATTCACTAATCACCAGCCCTTTCCAGCAGCTGGATAGTATCTCTTAGAAAAGAGAAAAATAATTTC